TCAACGCTTCAACAATTATTATAAACGCGCAGGTTGGCCACCTCGCGCTTGTTGTATTGCACAACAATAAAAACCGCGTCGATCGCGTGCTGCTGTACTTACGGCAGAAGTCGACTGTTCAAAGTTTTCGGCTCTACTCTCTTCGTGCCCTTTGACAGATGTACCCGAGTGTGTATGTGTGTGTGTTTCGATAATTACAGGGGAACACGTGTCTGATGCTTTATTTTTATACCTTTCATTTTCAAATATCCTTGGAGGGGTTGTTGCTTCGGTCGTGTTGTGCATGTGTGTGTGTAATAACAAAGCCTCGAACAAAGCTATGATGATGATGGGCAAGACAGGTGTGGCGCAGGTGCACAGAACTCGGCTCCATGTGACGACTCGCGTGCGTTTCATCGCGTTCGTATTTTTTTTTTCTTTGGTTCATATCTAATGTAATAGTGGATCGCATTTTTTTTTTTAATATTAATTGATACTAAACACGCTAGAAAAAAATTACTCGGAAATCTAAGAAAATTTTAAATAAATTAATTTTGTCCAACTATTAGTTTTTTTTTTTTTTTTTTTTTCTATGATTTTATGTATTATTGTCGTCACTTTTTCACCACACACTGATGTTGTCGTATACAATGTGAATTTCGTCAATCAACACGAAGAAAGTAAAAATAGCTTTTACCGAGCCTGTTTTGATAAACGAAAAAATGAGAGGAATTCCGTATCGTTATGGATATCGGAAAGCCGGAGAAAATCATCTGATGCGCTTACGTGTACGCCCACGTGTGTATTATAATGGGTTGTATGCATGTTGTCTCTCGCACACCATCATCAAACCAGCTTATTGTAAATGTATGTGTTGTGTAATAGTGTGTATAGGCATATGAGCACGCAAACAGCTGTCGCGCCGTTTTAACTCGTCACATGTATATATGTACATACGTCCCACGTGTGCACATCACGCACCGCACCAGCTGTTGTCGCTGATATAATATTTACTTAGTTGTAATTGAGTGTATTTTTTTTTTTACGGACTGATAGTTTTTTTAACTTTTGTCCTTCGGGGGATCGTTTTTTTTTTTTTTTTTTTTTTTTTCTCTTTGGGCACGCGAGTCGGTTCGCGTGAGTATTCTGCTTCCAATGGTATATTCATAGGTTTTATTTTTTTATTTATTTTTTTTAAGATTGAGCGATGATTTAGTGCTGTGGGAAATACACGTTTTTACTTTCACGTTGTGACGGAGTACGATAGTTTTTACGTAAACCGATAAGCTTTTCAAGGTCACCTTTTTTTTCCGTGCACCCCAGCCCTATGTGGCCACACACATTGTATTCATCTGTCTGATCCGACCATGTTGCGTGCTGTTAAAGGGCCAATTACGATTATTATGGGCGTATATTTTCCACCCAAGGATTAATTGTGTCATTGTCGAGGATCATGGCATAAAAATAAATTTTGCAATTCGATCGTTCGTCGCGGTTGAGAAAATTTTTTAACTCCACGGTCTTTGGGGGAATTTGAGTGGTTTACAAATCATCATCATTCGCACAACTCGATTTATTAAAAACGAAAAAACTTGCAGTTGCAAGAGCAAAAAAAAAAAACCGTTTGTATTAATTATAAAAGAACGATAATATGCGTCTTGTCGATGCCAATCCCCAATTTTCAGCAAAATGATTATGGAAAAATAAATAAAAATAAAAAGAATATTTCACGATTAAAAGACAATTAGATGTATTAGAGAGTAATACTTGTAGCACTTGACGTAAAATCTACACAAAATATGAAAAAAAAAAAAAAAAGAAAAGAAAAAACACTCGCACACATCACGTATATAATTACACACACGGGCAAAAGCTCGCGCGGGCGCGCGTCGTTCGGCTTATCGATTTTTCACACCCGTCGGCAACAATTTTACTCCGAGATTACACCACTCGATCACAATGCTTATCTTATCAGCGGAGCTGTATCTCTCGTGCTGTCCAAGCCCCTTGATATTCTCTGTATCGCCACCTCAAACGCTTGAATGAATAAAAAAAGGACGATTAAAAAAAAAAAAAAATGAATCTCAGCCATTGTCTCTGTAACATGTATATCTCTCGTAATTAACTAATCATGCCCGTATAGGCAGGATACTTGTATACATTGTACCCAAGCATGTTACGCACGCGCTTACGAAACAGTATAGTACACTCGTTGTATAGCTTAGGTGTGTATGTATATATACGTACAAAGTGATTTCGTAAGCCGCGACTGGCGCTATCGATCGCGACGTTTTCCGCTGACGCTCTCTCTCTCCTTCATTCATCCTCTAGATGACTCGTCCCTGACTGCCGCACATCTTCCGAGAGGCTCTCTCGACTATGTTATACTCTGCCTCACACGACAGCCCACACACAGTCGAGGAGCAGCGCGCGTGTCGAAAGCTATATATTTTCCTGCGCCTACGTCATCTCGAACGAGGGAGCCAAGACGCTCTCTGTTGCATGTATATATACAGCAAAGGAAAAGGAAAAAAAAAAAAATTGCTTACGTAACGGGGACACACGGCGATCGTTGTCGCTGTGTCTCTAGGAGCCGACGGCGATTTATATATTATGTACTTACACACGTCGTATGTACGATTCATACACTCTCTTCTCGAGGAAGATTTTTTCATTTCGCTGCTGCTTTTGGAATTTTTTTTTTCTCTAAGTCAGATATAAATAAATCGAGCAGATTTATTGAATGCGTGTCGATTATTCGCGAAATTATGAAACATTCGACTCCGAAGGCACTGCCCGAGGGCTCCAAAAGATAGAGAGAGAGAGAGTATAAAAATCGAAAGTCGTTTTTACCCCTACGGCCATCATGTGAAGCACGCGCGAGGCAAATTCGTTACGCACGTGACCCTGCGTCGATGTGACTATAAAATGTAAATTTAAAACTCGACCGGTACGCTTGTACCATGTGTCATTGTAAGTACATCAAAGGATTTTGAACGAAAAAGAAAAGAACTAATTTTTTAACTAATTTTTATAAAAATAAAAACAATCGTACGTCAAAAGATTGATTGTCACGTGACTAGAGCCTTTTTTTACGTGTTGTGTGATTGGTTAAAACGAAACACGTAGTAGTTTTTTTTTTTTTTTTTTTTGTTTGTACGAAATAAAATTGTACGTAAATAATGCAACATGTGCTCTTATTCAAACAAAATTTTATGAATCATTATTTCTTTATTTATTTGAATTGTAGCCTTTAAATATAGAATTGCCGATTGCGCATTGTTTATAATGATTAGTCAAGCGGAAAAGTGTAAGCAAAATTTTTATCTCTTGGGTAAGTGCGGTGTGCAAGTTGGGATAATAAACATGGAGAATGAATGAAAAATATAAAAAAAAAAAAAAAAAAAAAAAACTGAATTCCCAGACACCGCCGGTTTTTTCCATTAGCAAGTTATAATATCCCGTACTTGGGTCGCTCTCGAGTGATTACGAGCCGTTTTGCGCTGCATCTACAAAGCGCGTACACATGTATTAACGTTAATGCATCACATCCATACTCGCGTCTCCGGAAAAGGAAACCCCCTTTCCTTGGAAATTAACATATTATCTGATCGTGGTATACAAGTTGCTCCAACCGCTCGCGGTTGTACCGTTTCAAACGAGAAGTGTTCGCAAGTATAGTGTACTTGTAGGCTGAACATATCGTGCAATCAGTGAATCAGACATTCCACGAGCGCCAAACTCCGTCGAACGCCTCCGCATACGCGTTATGTATTTACACGAGCAAATTGTATTTCGGGCCGAACTACCGGGAGGGATGGTTTGTTTTTCGGAGCTGGCGAGTATTTTTTTTTTTTTTCTGCACGAGGAGGCTAAAAAAACGACGAAAAAACAGCACGTAGATGCGTAGTAGTTTGGGGATTCATCTATAAATACATGGTAAATGTTTTATAATACATGTGTGTGGGTGCGGTGCGAAGAAACAAAGAGATATCACCACGGAAAGTTGATATTCCTAAGCGCTGCCGATGATGGGGGCGAGAGTACGAATTACAGGGATTACTTTGCTGACTATCTCTCCATATTCGTACGCGCGTACGACGAATCGTAGAAGAGTCTGATTAAGCAGGAACATGGCAGCAATCGTGTGTGTTTATCACGCAACTTGATCACTCGACATAAGTAATTTTTTTTTTTTTTTTTTTTTTCATAGCGTTTGCTCAAGATAAACTTGTGCCTTTGGTTGTTTCTCTATTTATACGAGTTTACCAACTCTTTGGTATATAGTCTTCGAACAGCCATTGCATGTATAGATTGGCTTGTGGGGACCTCCGCACTCGGACGACTCTAAAAACGCGTCTCGCCGGCCGGTAAATATTTCACACGAGTGGTTGGGAGTTCAGGCGTGACGGGTGTTTTAATGGTCAAACCGAGTCTTTTTAACCCGTGCGTTTCTCCTTCTCTCTCTGACGATGTCTGGGATTCCTTTTGCGATTTTTGTAAAATTTTTCATCACAAAAACAACAACTTCAATTTAGTTAAAAATTCCTTATTTTCGACCTTGACGACCCACTTATTCGAGAATCTTCATCACAGTATGACTAGTTTAATAAATAAAACCGACATTCCTTTCAAATTCCCATGTTTCTGGATTACCTTCAAAAATCACGAGAAATCGTTTACGACAGTGCTCGATCGTCGGGCGACCGATAGTCCACCGCTACACCGTATGATGCGTTTAAAAAATCTATTCACCTCTTTTCCTCGCGCGGGTAATTTTTTTTTTCTTCAAATCGGCACAAAAACTTCATTAGAATTACTGGGGAATCGGTTTCACACTGTCTTATGATTATGCACGGTTATTTTACATTAATTTTTTTCCTTTCCATGCGCCATGTGCTTATATTTCCATCCCTATGTTTATATATACATGTATACTAAACTTTGCGATCACGTCCGTTCGATCGATCAACGCAGTCTTGCTCGCGGCTGAACTTTTTTGTCTTTTTTTATTTTTGCAGGAGCGTACGTTGGCCCGTCCATTCCTCTGGCGCCCGCCAATGTGGCGACCAACGGTGGTGGTTCGCCGCTCCGGCCCAGGACCAGTCCTCCACCACTGCCTCCGCCCTCGGCTCAGGAAACTAGCCAAGAAAACCAGCAGTCCAACCATCACCAGGTAACCAGTTTTTTAACGTTTTCGTATCCACGATCTGGATTGACTGTGTGAACAATTCTTTCTAAGCGCGAAATTCGAGGCGAAATTTCTTGGTTTTTTTTTTTTTTTTTTTTCCTTCGTCCGTTCACAGTGAATAATCGAAAATAAAATGACAAAACAATCGATGCTTTTGGTGAAAAAAAAAAATTTATTTTCCCAACATTACGGAAAACCATTTGAAAGTTCTAACATCTCAAGTATTTAATTAGTCGTAGTGGTTTACGTGAAATACAAAAATTTTACCAAGACAACAGTCTCTTTTCATATTACATGCCGATACACTGACAACTCTAATGGAGTATTTGTTTTCATGAAAAAAAAAAAAAAGAACCATTACCATCGTTGCAACATCACTGGCGTATATATTTCACCCACAAGGGTGTGTGCATAAAAGCTTTGCGGTACATTTGAAAAAAGGGTTCAAATTTAGTTTGAACAAAATTATTTGTGGGAAAACCGTCGTGCAAAATAAAATAAATCCTTGTATAAAATGATCGTGAATCTTTCCACCTGACCACGCGTATACGGGCAACATTCAGATTCAAGGCGTTGTTCTCGAATGATTTCCGCGTCAACGAAACAAAAAAACACTCGTGCACGGCTCGTCAAAAAAAAAAAAAAAAAAAAATTGTTTCACTCCAGCAGTCGCAACGTCCGGACGCGCTGCCAAAATTTTCCATCGACACATCCGTCGTGCACAGGCGTCGCTTTGTTTGACTATTTCAACGAGAACCGATTCGGCCAATCAGTTCCGAAGGCACACCCAGCCCCCTCCCCCTCGGTTACACATAGTTAGGTCATTAAAATGGGAAAAAAAAAAAAAAAAAAAATAGTTTAGTCGGCCGCTGCTGTTTGTTTACTGAAAAAATAGAAATCTCCGGGATGACGCTCGATGACTTTTGCCCAATTAAAAATAATTCCGCATCTCGATCGATATTTGGTATCGCAATTCGCGCTTGTGTGTGTACAGGCGTCGAATATGAAATTCCTTATCGGTTGCTCTATACCAGCTGTGGAAAAGGACAGAGACAAGCGGGAAAAGATTACTGAAAAAAAAAACAAAAAAAAAACACGATAGAGGGAGAGGAGAGGGCAAGGCCGCTATCAGTGCGCGATTACAGTGATGCACTCCAAAGTCTCTCGACGCGTACTTATTTGCGTACTCGTAAAGTAAGCCACGCGCCCTGCAACGAGTAAAAGAGGAAACGTGGCGCGCGCGTTATCGACTTTTTTTTTTTTTTTTTTTTTTTTTTTATCAAACAATTGCTAGTGCGGTGTGCAAGTTGGGATAATAAACATGGAGAATGAATGAAAAAAAAAAAAAAAAAAAAAAAAAAAAAAAACTGAATTCCCAGACACCGCCGGTTTTTTCCATTAGCAAGTTATAATATCCCGTACTTGGGTCGCTCTCGAGTGATTACGAGCCGTTTTGCGCTGCATCTACAAAGCGCGTACACATGTATTAACGTTAATGCATNGCGCGCGCGTTATCGACTTTTTTTTTTTTTTTTTTTTTTTATCAAACAATTGCTCTTTTTCTGCGATAGTGGCATTCGTCATCGTCTACTGATGCCTCGTGCATGTACGCGCGCCTTCTTGTATTTGTACACACAAGTCGCCTAGAGTTATAAAGATTAGCTGACTGTGCACGTGAACTGTATTATATACTTGGAAGTGCTATATGATAACTAGAAATTTAATTTTTTTTCCCCCTTCATTGCAATGAAATAACTCACGAGTGATGCTTATTACTACTCCTTTGTGATTATCACTTTGAACGTATATTTATTGTTCGTGCACGACCTATTGATTTATCTGTATGTCTCGTCTGAGCTTTCGATTTACGTACGAACTCGGAAAATATTCTCTCTTTTTTTTTTGTATTCGCTTTTTTATTGAATACCAATAAAAATTTTTGATATTACTATTTGGATTGCATTCTTCCTAGTTTCAATGCACATGACGCTAAAGTAGGGTACAGACAGCGACGCGAGTGGTTTTCCTCATCGCCCAAAATAACCTCCGTACGATAAGTCTCGATTAATTTTACATTAGTCATTGAATAATCGAGCCGTCCAAGTATTAACTTAAAAATCAAAGCTATGAATAACACGACACATATATTAATAATAAGAATTTCGTATTTGTTACCCAAACATGTGGGTTATTTTTAGACGAAGTAAGTAGTTTTTAATTTGTATCCCATTCAAGTTTTATCTTAATGAAAACACGTGTTATTAACTTGTTTAATATTCATTCATATGTTTTGTAAATACGTGAAATAATAAATGCACCTGAGCGAATTTTCGAATCAGTTTCCCATCTTAAACATCTTTCGAAATTACGTGGTCATCTTCAAGTCACTGCACAGTACTTGGGCAGTCCTCAGACTCTTTTCAACTCTCAACAAAAACTCCTTGGCCACTGTTCCAACGCAAAAAGTGCATCGGTGCTTCCTCTATAACAATCGCTGAAAATTAAATATTATTAATTATTGTCATGTATTACCAAATGATAATGGCTCTACTACCTACTCTCGTGTACTATAAATTCGTTATAAAAATACGTATCGTAACTTCAATTCCACAAGCAGTAGGTAGATGGAAATTCGGATACGTTCAACAAACTTAAATACACGACGACAGATGGAAACAATAAAAATACACGCTTTCACGCACACCACACTTCATAAAAGAAAAAAGAAAAAAAAAACAAAAAACGTGACGGATACGTGCAATTTTTTCCCTCTCCCTTTCCCGTATCGGCTGACGCGGTGAAACGTACAATACCAACACACAAATTGCACCAACTGCGCACACAGTTTGCAAAACGCAGCGCCACATCATCATGCCAAGATGTTGTTATTGTTACTATTATTATTATTATTCGTGCCTTATCGGCAAGCGAGCAACGAGAAACAATCGCCCGATAACAAGCTCTCTCGTGTGCCATTCTCGAAACCGCTGCTACTATTTGTAGCTGATAACGATACACGCGTTAAGGCATACGTATGGTATGTATATATACATGCAAAAGTTGCGAGGCACACACAGCAAGTTGTGTTGCTGTTTACGTAACAACTACGTAAAGTTTACATGGTAATGTTTATGGTGGCTTGTTGCAATGGCACCAAGTTTTGGAGTTTTCTTTTTTTCTTCATTAGAGTGTGATCCAAAGTAATCAACGCTCGAATCGAGGTACACCAGCAAACTCATCGACATCAAGAACGGTATATATCGTTACAATTAGCAATCTCGCACGCAATACCGCAATCCATCGGCCGATCTAATCATTGTTATTATTATTGTTTTTCGAGAATCGCTAGGAAAAAAACCAATCATTCGACTCGTATAGGAACAATAATATATTTTAAAGCGATTGTTTATATCAATTTGCTCATATTGTCGACGCAGTGATAACGTTAACTAATCTTTCGATAGCCTGAAACGACGATTGGTCATTTATGGGCTGAGCGACAGATAACCACAATAAGTTTAAGTGGAAATTTTTATTAAAAAATCATGGACGAGCAACATTGTTTTTTTTTTTCTTTTCTTGTTTTCGGAACTTGGCGATGAACATGAATTAACCCTTTATTCCTCCTCCTTCTGTTTCAGGGCTCAGGTAGCGGTCCATCACCAATGGCCGCTCTAATGTCCGTAGCGGACAATCTCGCATCGCCGGAGCCAGTGGCCCAACCACCGAACAACCCCAGCCCGACCAGCCGGAGTCCACCGACGACCGCGGCCAACGTCCAACAGCGCAGCGCCTCGCGGGGCTCCCAGCACAGTCCCAACAGTACAGGTGTGCGATCGATCGGTATACCCTTTGCCACCGTGACAAATTGTTGACGCCTTTACACTTCAACATCGGCCGCTTTGTCCGGCATTTCTCCGTTTCTTTCTTTTATCAAATGACGTAAAAGCACCTTATCACCTCGACAACCGATTCCTCGTGCCACTCGATATCGATCTCCTTGACGATCGTTTCAGCTCGTGAAATCGTTGTTCTGAGAAACTCGCTGTTCAGCGAATCGCGCACCTTCACGTTATCATCGGAGCTGACGCGTACGTGTTTTATGTTATCGGACGAATTTTGATACGAGGAGCTGCTCACTCAAGTCTTTCGGAATTCGTCGGAGGTCGTTATTGAAACCGTTTCAAGTCTTTACAAATCGTGGCTTCCACTAAAGATTCCACACTCTTATAACAAAACAGCTTAGAACTACGCCCAGAGACTCGTATCTTATCTCTGCTCGTATTTAATTTATACATGATCGACATCTCGTGTTTGGTAAAAGAAGAAAAAAAAAAAAAAAAAAAAAAATTAATTTTTTTGCCCCGTAGCTCCCTCTGGCAGGAGATCAAGCGGCTCGCGTCACGTGTCCTCGACGACGGTGACGACATCGTCGGAGGGTGCGGTGGCCCAATCAGCTGGTGCCGAACCGGTAAGCACGCCGATCCTCAAGTGCACGCTCTGCCAGGAGCGCCTCGAGGACACGCACTTCGTCCAGTGCCCGAGCGTGCCCCACCACAAGTTTTGCTTCCCCTGCAGCCGGGAGAGCATCAAGCGCCAGGGTGCCGGCCAGGAAGTATGTATTTTCCCCGATTGTGTCTTCATCTTTTTTTAATTTTCATCTTCCACTTCTTTCCGTTGTCATTGTACAACCACGTATGTTACATGAGCCTTCGGTGGTGTTAAACGTACGGATTACCACTTTTGTTGAAGGTCTACTGTCCGAGCGGAGAAAAGTGTCCCCTGGCCAACAGCACGATGCCGTGGGCCTTCATGCAGAACGAGATAGCCACCATATTGGGCGAGGACGCCGCAACCACGGCTCTCAAGGTCAAGAAGGAGCGCGAGTCTTAAGGGGACTCTGGCCAATCCATGTCCCCTGACTTCTGAGAGCGTCCGGGTCCACAGTAACCACGTGTGGACGACGACTATTGTGTATACAAAACGCACCACCGTGCAAAAACAAGCCGGTTGGTTATGGTTACTCAAGAATTTTTGGTCCTCCCGCGATGTCGCGTGACCTACGTGTTTGCGTGTACATACGCGGAGGGGGTGGGGGGCGCCCAGCAATTACAATATAGTTTATTGCGGCTGCTGCTGTTTTCGTCACAATCATTGTCAAACGACTCGGCTGTATTTGATTTGCGCGCGCGCCCACTACTGACACCAAGCGTGCGCGCGCATACTTTGTTTGTTGTTGTTGTTGTTGTTGTTGTTGTATAACCCCTGGTGAATTCCGGGGGAGGGGGCTGTGAAGGCCCCACAATACCCCGCATCCATCCAATACGCCGGCATTGTTGTGTTATTTCTTTGGCCGAGCCGTGGTATTTTTACACTAGCAGTACGCTGTACAATTGCTATAAGATCCACCACGCGCGGACGCGAGGAGCTGGACGCGTATGTTGTAGGGTGAGGAGCCATCCGAAGAGGCGGTCACCCCACGTTTGGCCGAAGACGTTGTAATGTGGATTTACGTGAAACGCTGTGATGAGAAAAATCGTTTTATTATTACCTTTTGGTTCGCACTGAGAGTGCGTGCATTTTTTCTTTATTTTTTTCAATTTTTGGTCGCTCTGATAATTTGCGACGACGCCGCTGTACGGTACTGGCGGATCGAAGGTGCGAGCTGGGCGTCGTCACTTTTTATGTTTAAGGAACAAGTACAGCACAGACGAATTGGTGTACTTTGTATAATTTCCGAATTGTTGTTTTTTTTTTTTGTTTTTTTGTTTTTTTTCTTGTTTTTTTTTTTTTTTTT